TTTTCAAAAATTTTGAGTTAGTAAGACAAACTTTCGAGTTAATAAGTCGAAATTTCGAGTTAAGTCTATTTCTCAAAATTTCGAGTTATGGACCCTTTTTTTTGTGGTGGAAACGGGCTTTCATAAAGATGTGAAACATCATCACGAAAATTAAAGAAGTCCAGCCACTTTCTTTCCAAAACTCCATAGACTACTATGACTTGAATGACTAAGAACCTACACAGACAGACTAAACTATGCTTGAGGTCTATCTCACACAGTAGTCCCGCTTGCGCTTTTGTTAATCAGAGGCAGCCAATCAGAAGAATGTTTGCTTAAAGTGCTAAAAAAAACCCAGCTTATTTCAGACAGTGGATAAGCTGTGTGCACCAAAACCTCAGGATAGGAATTATTGTGTAAATGATGAAAAAAATCCTCTCGTACAGTCCAAGAATCAAATGATGGAGGTGAAAATAAGGATAATAGGCTGTGTTTTATGTTATGACTGATCAGTCTGTGTAGATTTGGATGTGAGGTTTGGATGTTTGCAATTATCCTGAGGGTTACAGGCAGTACAAAAGTGACTTCTTTTCCTTCTCTGTCTTTATTTTTTGCAAAGTTAACCACTGAAGTGTAGCTCAGAGTCGCCTAGTTTACTGGCTACACCACATCAAAAACTTTCTTGACATCTCTTGACAGGTTTCATTGCTTGTCTTCAGTCCCCCTGCCTCCAAAATGTGGCGTAAGGGTGATTCATATCTGGCAGGCCCTTAGACACCATGTTAGGTGAAAGTGGCGAATTATTATGTCTTTGCCTTTGTGGTGGGCGGAGTGATTGCTCTAAATGTTGCTCCTTTATGTTTCACTCAAAAGTGATGCAGCAATAGCTATTCCTGCTGGCAGGCTTAATTATTTAATGTGGTGAACCACACTGAGGCAAGCACCATCTTCCATTATGAAGAGAAAACTAGAATTTTGTGCTTTAATCTTAACATTGTCTTCTGTGATTAGCATGCAAAATACCACAGGAAGTCTCAGGATCCCGTCCCCAGATAATGAACTTTGTACTTTGTTGATGACTAGCTTACTGACAAACCATTGACTAAGAGTCCCACAGCTGGACCACATTCAAGTCCAAAGTGAAACTGGTGACAAGTCAAAATTGCTGCCAGGGTTCCTGTGAGTGCATGCACATCATCACCCGCTTAATATGCACAGAGCACCCTACAGAAAACAATATAGTCTGTGCACCTTATTTAGGTTGTAACAGTCACTAACATTTAACTGATACCAAGAAAGCTTATTTCTCCCTACACAGCAGCCAGTAATTTATTAATATTTTCTTTTCCCCTTCTTATTTATCCGAAGTTGTCACAACTTCTTCTGTTCCAGGTTTGGAGATAACCTGTACCAAGAAGGTTTCTACACATAAAATTATATTTGTTATGATTACCTTTTAGCTTTTACTCTAAAAAAAAGGGGGAGAGGGGCTTTTGCGGGGCCACCAGTCTTCTTTTCTCAACACCATGCATGTCACAAACACCCAGAAAACTTGACTGTGCAGTCTAAATCCTGCTTCATCTTCGAGTCAGTCTTGTCCTCCACACACATTCCAACACATTCCCATGACCTGGCTGAGTTCATGAGGAACATAAGCACATGATGATGGTGATGATTAAGAAAATCATGAAGAAATCTTCAAATTTATTGACGTAGGTCAGGGCACTTGGCAGAGGTCAGTTTGTGCCTTATTTGGATGCACGGTCTTGGTGAACCCGGTGCACTCTGTGGATGTGGTACAGTAGCACGACTGGATTCTAAGCAGGAGGAAAACTGGAGCAGACCCGCAGTCCGTCCTGCCTCACTTACAATGCCAGCACAGGAAATCCTCCTTTTGATTGCTAAATGAAGGCGCAAGATTGAGAACAATAACTGTGCGTCCACTGTGTAGTGCCTTGCACTTGAGCTCTATGCCATGGAGCCACGGGCATGGGCAAACTAATAGAGACAGACAAACATGTGCACTGCATTTCAAATTACTACAAAGCACTTTTTTTGTTTCAGTCTGTAAGGCCAAACCTCAAGAAATGTGGTCAGTCCAGCACTCTGATCCTTCCAGCGAGGATAAGTTAAGAGAGACCCTATCATTTGTCCTACACTGCAGACAACCACAGGGGTTATAAGACCTTTCTTGACACATTACTTTTTGCCCAACACAACATTTTATCTCTTCATCATAAAAAATCGTGTTTATCCCTTAACTATCAGCACAGTTGCAAAGTATCCGAATGAGTGTGACACTATTGTCCATAGCTTCACTGCAAACCACTTACAGCTGTGTCAGTACATTTAAATTGAAGATTTTCATACATAATTTGCTTGTAATTTAATAATCCAGCTGTGTGTTAAAAAATATCTTCTTCTTCCAGTCCAGGTGGTTGCTGCATCATCCTCTAGGACTTTGCACTTCACTAGTTCCCCCCACTGATTAGCACTGCTTTATTAGCCTCAGCTGCAAAACTGGTAATACAGTTGCACAAATCAAAAATATATCACAGGTTGTTAGCGCTTTCTTCAATCTGGCGTACTCGATAAAATGCATGGGCTGGGTTTTTTGGTTTTGGTTTTGGTTTTGTTTTTTTGTGCCATGTGTGATGAACTTCGATTCATCCAGCTTGGACAGCAATACCTTGTAATGTTCCTCTTCTAATGGCCTCACCCAGTGGACGGAACCGAAAACCCAGTTTTCAAAGTGTATTCTCTAATAAACACATGAACGCCTTTGACATGTGTTTTAAATTAAATTGCCTTCCAACACATGTAAGAGCCATTAAACATAGTGGTCTTACAGCCACATTCTCTCATTTACATTGTGTTTTTGTGATATAAACCAGGTTTTCCCCTCAAAAAATATTACTTGTAATTTTGGCTTTAGCTCACCGGTCCCGTTGGATTTAGCTGTTAGTCCTCCCAGAACAACTGCAGTCATTTTTTTTAAGTCTCCATTTCTTTTTATTTCTCTTGTTGTTCCTTGCACACATGAGGCCACCATGTCTGGGATCCAGAACGATCATCTCAGGAGTTACTCACAGTTGCAGCCAAAAATCAGGCGAAAAATAAGGCTAGGGGATGCAGGTGGGGGTTGTGGGTATCCAGAGTGGTGCAGTAGGATTCAGAAAGAAAGTTTCCAACTGCAGTACCTCATCAGTATGAAAACGATTTGAATTTTTTCCTCATCAAAGTTATAATTTCCCTTTCACTGTGGATTCGGCTGCAGCGGCTGTGTGCACGTTTCATTTAATTTCTGCAACCTGGGGCGGATGTGTATACCAAGGACGGATTCCATTTTTGCTTTATGGGTCACAGATGATGGAAGTGTTTAAGAGTGTTTGTCCAATAAATGAGCTATTTGTTTAGAAATGCTATTAGAAGCAATGTGCTTCTTTTTTTTTTTTAAAAATGGCTGCATGCCCATATTTCTAGTTAGTGTCACATGTGTTTGTGATAGAAGATAACTTCTTGCTTTTTCTGATCTGTGCTCCAGGTGTGTATCTACCACCTGGTGCTGGGTTAGGACCAGGAGGCGGTGGAACAGGAACTGGATTCTTTCCAGGTAAAAGAGCATCCACCCAGTGTCTGCACAATTTAAAAACAAAAAAACATCCAGAACGCAGCCACTATAAACAAAGTCTGCTTCTCTTTAGAAAAGGTATGAGAGGTACATTGAACTACCGTGGAGCAGAAGTTTAACTAAAAGAAATAGTAGTATAAGAATCACTGCAATGTGAACATGCAATTGACTCAAAATAAAGACACTTGCAGTATTATGTGCAAAAGAATATGAGAAACATAGCACTCTGCTTGGCAGTGCTTTGTCATCAAACTTCAAAGCTGAGTTGATAGTTAAGTCTTGGCACTGATGATTCAAATGACTGAAAGTGGCTCACACAGATTTAACGTTCTTATTTATAACTGAAACCTAAGGGGTCTGTTTCTGTCAAAAGCATAAACTGGAAAGTCTGAAACTGAGTAAATATTTAACCCAAAAAGTCTTTCAAGGGTGAAAATGTGCATGTTTGTGACATGTAATCATCCTTTTCTCTTGTTGTATGTACTCAAAAATATACACTCATATGAAAAAGAAAGTTTTCACATGACTTCATGCAGTCCTGTCAAAGCACACTCTTACTGCCTCCAGAAGAATTAATAAGGTAAGGAGGAGCCAGGTGCTGCTAATCAAATGCATATAATTAACCGATCATCAGGAGGTGTGACCATTTCCAAAGGTTGCCTGAAGAAAGCGTCTTCTCTCTAAAATAAACATGACAGCATGGCTTGGGCTTGCAAAGCTGCATTTGAACAAACCACAAGATTTCAGGAACAATTTCCTTCGAGCCAAAGTAGAAATGCTTGGCCCTAACGCACAGCATTGTGTCTGCTGAAAACCAAACACAGCATATCAAACACATCATACCACCGTGGTGAAGGGGGGATGATTTCGGTTTATTTTGTAGCCACAGGACTTGGGCACCTTGAAGTCACAGAGTCGACCCTGAACTCCTCTGTCTCAAAGTATTCTAGAGTCAGATGTGGGGCCATCTGTCAAACAGTTAAAGCTTAGCTCAAACTGGGTCATGCAACAGGACAGTGATCCCAAAAAATTTACAACAGAATGGTTGAAGCAGAAAAAAATTAAGGTGCTGCAATGACCCAGTCAAAATCCAGACCTCAACCTGACTGAAATGCTGTGGTGGAACCTTAATAGAGCCGCGCATAAACAAATGCCTGCAAACCTCAGTGAACTGAAGCAACCTTGTACAGGAGAGTGAGCCAAAATTCCTCTGCAACGATGTGAGGGGCTGATAAAGTCACACTGAAAATGATTACTTCAAGTTATTGCTGCTAAAGTTGGGTCTATAAGCTATCGAATCATGGGGCATACTCGATTTTTCACCAGACTGCACGGAGTCCTGTGCAAAACTTGACTGCATACAATCAATGTATAAGCACATGCATTCAGTGATTTATAACATATACCTTAATGTATGCATGTGCAGCATTGTCATTTCTGGAAAAGGAACACAGATTTTGAGCCTCACAAGCGGACTTATGTGACCGTGCTTCATCATGATATAAAAACTTAAATGCAAGTATGTAGTAACCCTCAGAAGATGCCACAAGACACTCCTGGTGTCCTGAGAGAACTTATGACACAAGTCAGCTGGCATGATGATAAACTGTGATTTACCTTACTACATGTAGGCAAACCATAAATCAATAGTTGTATGACTGTTATTTTACTAGGGGCTGCTGGAGGGTTCCCTGCGGGCTATAAACCAGCTAAAGCTGCAGGTGAGTAGAAGAGATTTTTTGATTTATGACTTTTCTCCCCAAAAAAACAATAAAAATAACTTCTCAAGAATTGCATCTGGTTTATCATGAACCGGAGCATTCATGTCTCTGTCTGTGATGTGGACAAATTAAACAAAATTCTATCATAAAAGTCCGCTTCAAATATGTATATTGGAAGAATTGTTTTTTAGCCTCATGGAGCTGTGCATGGATCAAGGCGATTTTATGATGAATTCAACTTGGTTTAACTCATTGTCTTCCAGCTACTGATTAATATTTATACATTTTTAATAAGCTTCAGCATCATCTAGGCCGCTCTTTGAAGAGAGTCTTTCATTCGGCTCAGCCTAAATCAGCGATATTTTCCATGTAAGTTTCTATAAATCGAGAAAGTAGTGTCATTGCAGGCACAGGTATTCAGTCTGATGATTGTCATTTCACACATCAGCAGCAGATACTCACACACACAATTTTAGCAGCAGCTTTACACACCCTGTGTAGTGCCCTGGCAGGGCTTCAGCTCCCATTTGCTGAACAAGTTTGACCTTGTGCACCTTTTTCATTTTTTTGCTATATTTTATGCTAATGCTATTTGAGGGCTATGCGCACGTTAAGTTTACGACATTAAGCATGCAACAGTGTAACATTAGTTCCATAAGAAACAGACTGCAGTCCTTGAGACAAATTTCCCTGTCAACGCTCGGATTTGGTTCGGCCGGATCAAGGGGAAACAACTGGTGAGACTTCCTTATCACGCCACCACAAGCTAAGATTAATTAAATCCAAGGGATATTGCTGAGGCAGTAAAACAATGTGTTTGAGGGCTGACCGCTTTTAATAAGCCTGTTTGCTGGAAGGCATTATGAGTTTTCTCTTATATGGTCTTTAACAATGATTACCGTGATAATTAACAGCCATCTCCAAATGGTAACGATGAAGACAAAATGACGACATGACACGAGATCGTTACAGAAACAAACACAGCAGTGCGACCGTGATCAGCCTATCATTAATGTTGTCATCACTTTTGTCATCATCTGCTGTTTCTGTCAGGAGGTTATGCAGGAGGAGGTGGAGGCCGAGGCCTATTCGTGCCAGGGGCAGGTGGCCAGGTCATTGCAGGATTGCCAGCAGGTATGAAGCAACTGCGCTTAATTGATTTAGCTGTCGACCAGCAATGCACCTGCCTTTAGGAGCCGCTGTCATTACACATAATCAGGCAAAGCATTTCGGCATCTTAAGTCATAGCTGTCCGTTTGTGTTAAAACAGTTTAACAAATTATGTCACAATCAGATAATCACACAGTCCTCGCATATTATGTTTGCTTTGACTTCAACAGGACAAGGTGGAAAAGCCCCTAAACCAGGTAAGCTGGAACATTTTTTTAGTGTTATTGTGGTTTTTATTCTATCGTTTTACTGATATTAAAACAGACTCTGATTTTTACATGGAGCTAACACTAATCTACACTTTCACAAAATATTTTGAACCCACTATTTTTGCTCTGTTTCCACATGATGCAGTATTGCAATAATAAGGAGATTTTACACCATGTTGGATGGTCTTGAAAGGAAGGAACTCTAGTCACTCTATGGTCTGCATTACCTTTACCCATCCAGTCCTTAAAGAGACAGTCTATTGATCGGGTGTCAGCAGGTTGTCCTTATCAGCCCTGGGGTTTTTTGTGGTGGTGGGGTTGGCATCTCTCTGGGGAATCCTGACTGGGTGGGATCATACATACAGATTTCTCTACCTCTGCTGCATGAAAAGGATTAAGGAGTGATGATTGGCAGAGTGCAAACAGCTATCAACGCCTGCCAAGCAGTGGTGCCAGAGCACTGATTAATGTTATTGTAAAGCTAGACCCTCACAATATCTGGAAACCTCCGTGTTGAAATTTACCACAGCCCTTCTCTCCGATACTGTACAATAAATATTTTCCTTTGCTGTATTTTAGTCTGCACCGCATTGGTGCTCTAGTAAATTTAGCCATCATTTAATTTCCCCCAAGCACCGCTGATACAATCGCAGCCTACCTCTCTGTGTTTAGAAAGATAAGGGACCAAGCAATGGTTCTATAGTCCTGATAACACATGGAGCGGGGTCCCTCTGGAGTGCCACACCCTCACCCTCCAACCAGAGAGGCTGGAAAGCACTTTTGTGAAAATGACCTAATATCCAGCATTTGGTGGAAGTTGACTTTGGCTGGGCGCAGCAGAGCATTACTGGAGAAATATTGCGCTTTTGTGTGCATTTAAGACCCCTCTCTTCCTCACCATGTACACGGCAGGAATTAAATTGGTGAGAAAAAGGGAAGTGAGAAATGTTTTAAAAAGCTCCTTTCGTGTTTGTTTTAGATCAGTGCTCCGCTCTGAATCCATACTAATCTTTGTTGTATGGAAAATACTCACAGTGCATTACTGGGGTTTAGCTAAGACGCTTTTTTTAAATGGAAAAGAAGACTTAAACTCTCAGGGGAGCAGTAATATGTTCCGCTTCATGGCTGTTCACAAAGCTTTGAATGTTGGTTTCCATCAGAGCTGCTTTCCTTTCCATCAGAGGAATATTGCCTGAAGCCTTACAAGCATGAAGCCTCCATTAATACACAAATGTATATCTACAGTTCACCTGTAAGTAAGACTCACACAGCGGCAGGTAGAATCCATCCCATTGGTCAGTGTCTGCAGGCTTGTGCTGTAGAGAGAACATGCAACTATCACGTGAAAATTCACTGACATGTTTTTAGTTTTTCATTAATCTTCAATATTAAGAGCAGGATTGTCTTTCTAAGGACACACAAATGCAAACACTGGTCAGCTAATCTCAGATGCATGCTCACATAACAAGAGCTGCCATTCATTCTTCTGATGAAGTCAAGCAGTGACATTGCATTCCTCAGATATGCACCTTGCCTTTGCAGTAATGGAGAACAGCAGCTGGCTATGTGAGTAGCGTGACTGCAGTGAATTGCAGCGTAACTCATGCAAGACCTTGTAAATGTTACACTAATTGTGAAGTCTGTCAGCATCCAGCTCTGACAATACAATGAAAGGTGGAAGGAGGAACTTTCTCCTTATGAACAGCTGTTGGAGCCCTTTTCTTGTGCTGCCTCAAGCGAAGGTGGAATCAATACTCATAGCGTTATTGCTGAAACTTGGCTCTCGCCGACCAGCCTCTTGTCACTTTCAGGCAACGTGAACGCAGTTAACGAGAAACATAGAGGTTACTGTTTTTGCTGTTGGTGTAATTTCTTTGTACGATTACAATGGTCTGTTTTAGCTTGAGAAAAGATGTGTCTGTGTGGGAGAGCTGCAATGTGTTTACACTCAGCCTACCAGTGGACTCTCCAAGAGTAATAAACACTGAAGATCATAGACAACATGTTGTCTGTCTTCATTTTCTAACGCTGTCAGAAGCTGACAAAAGCGAGCCTCGGCCTTTGAGCAATGAAAACGTATATGAGCCATTGGGATCTGTAAGCAATTTAACAGACTATAGATCTCATACAGCAGATGGATGAAATACTGCTCGTGTATAGCTTGTCTGTCGAAAGCATCAGTGGCAGTCGGGCTTTTATTCGTTTCTAGGCTCATAATGTTATAAAATAGGTATGTGTGAGCAAATAGCAACGACTAAAGGAAAAAACTAATGGCTGGCTGGCAGCAAGTCGCAAATCTGAAGAAATTAACATCTCAGGAGAAGACAAGTAGGCATCAGGTGTCACTTCTTTGTAAGAAAGTCCAACACTAGCTTTTAGGAAAGCTGTCGCTGAACAGTCTCTGTGCTATTCAGGACAGCTGAGTACACTGAGTTTCTGAGTAAGCTCTGCCAACTGCCATCCAACCACAAAGAAAGACGGAAATTGATATTGTGAGCCTGGTAATGTAAGCCCACTGCTCGGCTTAACCTTGTGATGCAACTGCAGTGTAGTACAACTCAGCATTACAACCTGAAGTCTCCAAAAAGTCTTTGCGAAGGCGCAGCGGGATTTGTTGCAGAACCGTTTATGAATAGATAAGCGTACTGGAAAAAACTGGCAGCTGAGTGTAAAGAGTCTCGCCTTTTCTGCGGCTCTTCCACTGAAACATGATGATGAAAAGTATTGGAAAATGTAGTCAAAAATCCTCCTCGGAAAATTTGAGATACATGTAACATTTTGGTCCACACAGAAACATGTCTCTGAGTTGTTTTGGCAGTCATATGGACCTGCGTGGCAGCAGGCCAGCAGAGAGTTGTGGCTGCTGATTGCAGAAAATACATGCAGGTGGTGGGCTTGAGTGTTCGCAGCACTTTAGACTGTTTGTGAAAATCTGAAATAAATGAAGATATTCACTTTTAATACCATCACTGGGGGGGGAAAAGCCCCTGTAATTCGTAAGAAAACAGTTATTTCAACACACGCACTTCTTTTTTTTTTCACCTAAAAACTCAGAATTTCTTTTTTCAGTTAATCTTTCTAGGATTTAAAAAGCAGAAGTACACCTGCTTTTCTTTTCCTGCTCATCTTCTGGTTCATATCGCGGCCATTGTTTGAAGACGCACCAAGTGAACTTGTCTTCTTCAAAAGCAGGAAAGGCAGAGAAATTGAAGCGTGCAGTGGACACGGGGAGGACAGACGAGAGACAGGCTAAAGCAAGGAGAACGGAAAGGACCGATAACTCACGCGGACATGCCGTATATATGTCATACGCGTACACCACCTCTCACCGCCGCGCAGAGAATTATATGCGCATTCATTCGCATTGCACACATACCGAGAGAGCTCTGTGAGAGAAAGGAGACTGATAGATTGAGGTGAGGATTAAAGTGTTTAGCCAAAAGAAGATGAGCTCTGAGGAGGTTTAGTCTCCTGGAGCACATGTGGTTTTCATTACCACAGCTCAGACCTGTCCTCTGAGCTGTCAGAGACTGGAAGCATCTGCATGTGAATATGCATGACTATGATTGTATGTAAATATGTTTATCATCTTCATATGTGCGCAATTACGAGAGCGACCGCATGTGTGCGCGCCGACACAAACGCACACAAATAGCGAATATGTATTCTGACATCGGTTTGGAGGCATTCGGCATCCCTTTCAGCACATAATAGACACACTTGTTTATGCAGGAAAAATGTGAATTATGGACTTTTCTCTATTCTTACTCAACTATCTTTCCTCTTAGTCCATTTAATCTGCCCTCCACCGGCTCTCTGCGTCAAGCGTTCAAGATCTTGGAAAATAAACTGTCTGCAACGGAAACTTTCTGATATCACCCCCACACTGGACTCAGCCCACCCAATATGCACACAGCCAACACGGCTTATTTGTTCGCATTGCAAATGCCTGTTGTCTCCCAAACAATTTTTCTTGGATTACGTCACCAGTTGTTGATGTCCTCGCGAATTCATCTCAAGAATTACATTTATATTGGATTAAAGCTTGATAAGAAGCTCTTTATTCGTTTTCATTGGTGCCTAATCAGTCAGGCGTTCCACACATCACTGTTTCTAACTGTGGTATTTCCCCACATGCAATTATAAAGTACTTTCTCTCTGCTTTAGTAATATCTCCTCAGGCCCTCACTGGCCAGTTTTGTATTTTGTTTGCACGGTTATTTTCCTGGGAACGTTACTACCGATGCATCTTGTCCGTCTCCGCTTTGTTGGTTGAGCAACTGTCCCGTGACGATACTTCTCACAACCTCTTCTGACGCTCCCTTTGCCAGCAGGTCGGCAACATGCAACTGTACTTGTCCATCTGGCTGCACAGCCAAAGCGTTATTTATGTAGTGATAGAGAAATTTCTTTCTGTTGTTTTAGTAAGAGCTTATGAAGACAGGGTGAAGTCTGTGAGAGCCGAGGGCCTGTTTAGTAGATTTGTTTAAGAGTAAGCATTTACAGCGCTGTTGCTGTGAGTTGGGTTTGAAGAATTTAAAGGGCCATTAAGAGGAGATTATTTGTTTGGAAAGTTTACTGTATGCATTCCAGTCTTGGTGGGTATAAAGGATCATGCATCACACGGCATCATCAAAAGAGTGGCGGGTGATTGATACATACACAGCTCACGTCTATGCTCAGGTCTGATGCAGGGCCTTAAAAATGTTGTGACGCAACATGTGTCATTTTTAAAAAAGTCACTGCAAAAGTGTTCTGGTGCTGATGTCTTGTCCTCCCAGTGCAGGTTTGCTCATTCATTAAAGTGCTCCTAATTTCAAATAATGGGAGTCGCAGAAATGATCTCACCCCTGTGAAATGTCACTCTTGGATTTCTCAATCAGGCCCAGTGCCGGGCTTGAGTAACCTGGGATGATAAATGGGTTCTGAATGACTTCAGCTTTGGCCCTTGAGGCTTCGTAGGTATCCTAACGCATTAGTTCATGCAG